TGCACACCCTCAATATGGGTGCAAAATTTCAAGTATCTAGGTTCTTTTCCCTTGGAGCTATGGCAGTAATAAGTAAAACCCAGGTGCACACCCTCAGTATGGGTGCAAAATGTCAAGTATCTAGGTTCTTTTCCCATGGAACCATGGCAGTGATAAGTAAGACCCAGGTGCACACCCTCAGTATGGGTGCAAAATTTCAAGTGTCTAGGTTCTTTATTTGGAGCTATGGCAATCACATTTCTTTTCTATGTTTTTTAAAAACTCCTGAATAGCGTTTTTTTGTAGACATCATTGAAACTTCTTAAACCTTGATTCAAGTTGTAGACAAAAAAAAAAAGAACAGCAAACAAACAACAAAACATATGCTGCAACATGGTATCTGAGAAGTATCATTTTAAGACCTCTCGAGATCCACAGGCACTGAAACCTTACAGTCATGTTCCACAATATAACATCTCAACTCAATCCTTCAGAATTGTTACAGCACAACCATGGACTGTATGAACACCAGATCCATACTCAAATATCACCATGAAACGAGACGAGGTGGCTATCACCACTCAATAGAATATGCCATAAACTTACGATATCTTAAGTCCTGAGATGATATAGTTTTTGTAAATCCAGCACTTTTTAAGTACCTACACTCATTCGAGAGCATGCTCCACAGACCTCAGATGTGGGGCCCACATTAGAGATAGTAACATCACTGTAAGTGTTTTGGAAATTTGATTTTTCTTATCTTTTTCACGAACTGATATAGTGAATATTTGTTCGATTTCGAGAGAACAGTCGAAGATGGTTCCAAATCTTTTCAGCAAGGACTCCGTTTATTATTATTTTTCTCCACAAACCCCATGTTTTTGAAAGATTCCGTCTAACCAACAAACTGTTTTTATTAACTAATAATAAACTTGTTTTCTTATTTTTTACTATCAGATAAAAGACGTATAACCGAGTGTGCAATTAATAAAAGAGCAATATTAAAAACTTACTTATTTAATGAAATGGTATTACTTTCGCATACTCCTAGGGCTCCAGGGACCCCCAGATTGGGAATCACTGCTCTATACTGTTATATTATTGATACTGCTGAATGGCCTCGTGCAAGATAAATAATGTACAGTTACTATCCACACCTATTGATTTTTCACAGTTTCATCACCTTGTAATCTCTTGCCTCTGGTTAATGTAATGTTCGACTTTTCTCATCTTGCACACAATCTAACATTACTAGCCTTATTTGGTGAACTACTGTATATTTACCGATTTCCCTTCCACCATCTTGGAACAACATCTTGGTCTAAAAAAGTCTCCAAACATTTCTGGCTGAACAGTCTTTATTATTAAATGATATAGCTTACTCTGGTTTTATGTTCCTTATATAATGTTTGTAAATCGTATACTTGATATTTAAGTGATACTAGACTGCCCGTGACCGTTGGGTCACCCACTATTCAAAGATTATGAAGAATTCAAGCTGATTTCAATTCTTTTTTGACTGAGAAAATTTTCTCATTTCCTTACCTACCATAACCAAGGCACATTATTGAGAATTTTTTCAAGATCTTGTTTTTGTAATCTTATGCCTTTTAATGAAGATGGGAACATTGACAGGGAAATAGATTTGAACGAAGCAGTTTCGTAAAGAGCGCGAACGGTAGTGTGATGTAAAATTACTCGTGCTAAAAATTTTCACAAAAGTGACCCGAAAAACGGCGCTAACTCGGTAACTCGTTACCCGATTTTAACGAAACTTGTTTTATTATGTATCTATTCTCATTTCATTACAAATATGGCGCTATTGTGCGCCGTTTTCGCTGTATTTAATTACAGCCAAGCAAACAAACAAACAATCTCAGAGTTTTAGTACTACATAGATAGATTAGTTGTTCTTCGAATATCTTATTTAAGTTTTCGGTTTCCCCTATAGTTACTAACGTGTAGTAGCAGTTTGTCAGGTTTTGTTTTTGTGGATTCTTCTACAGTAGGTGTCTGTGACTTGTTGGCAGTAAAGGTAATGATGAATGAATAGCACACACTACACTTGTTTCAATATCAAAGTATATATATTCTGAACTAAATTCACACAAACACATTAACATAGACGTCAACCTTGCCCAGGTGGTTAGGACGCTCGACTCGCAATCTGTGGGTTCGAATCCCCGTCACACCAAACATGCTCGCCCTTTCAGCCGTGGGGACGTTATATGTGACGGTCAATCTCATTATTCATTGGTAAAAGAGTAGCCCAAGAGTTGACGGTAGGTGGTGATGACTAGCTGCCTTCCCTCTAGTCTTACACTGCTAAATTATGGACGGCTAGTGCAGATAGCCCTCGTGTAGCTTTGCGCAAAATTCAAAACAAACAAACAAACTGATCTAAACCTAAGAAGTTGAATCGAGACTGCGTTGCAATGCAGAGGTGAGTTTGAAACAGGTATCGCAATCGAACCAAACAACATTTTTGAAATTTACTTTTGATAGCAAACCTAGAAAAAGATAATTCATTCAAGACTGTACCTGCTGTTGTTACGACAAGATGCAATTTTATTAATTCATTCAAGACTGTACCTGCTGTTGTTACGACAAGATGCAATTTTATT